CTGTGTGCTGCAAGGAATGGTCCTACTGACTCTTTCCTCTAAGTCTGTAAATAATCAATGCCCCTAATTGTGTTATGGAGTGCTATGGTGCTGGAGGTACTATTTTTCAGATAAGATATAAAAACAAGGTACTGACCACCTGTGGTCATTAAAAACACCATGAAACTGTTTGGGTTAACTTCAGTCTCCTGGTCGAGTTCCATCTCAAGTAATTATTTTGCCTACCTAGAATTTCCCCGGCTGATTCAACTGATACTGTCTATTTCTTGTGCTAAATTGTTATACACTGTTACCAAGCACTGTTAACTATTTGCTGTACTTCGCCCCAGATGTGGCTGCATTTTAGTGGTGCATGAAATGATTCCCTACACAGAATCTGAACATCAGTTTATTACATTTGGGATTCTTTGGGATGATGCAAGATCATGATTAGTGCTGGACAGAGAAACATATCTCATTTCAGGGGGATTTTGAAATTTAGTTTCATTCCAATTTGGAACAAAACCCCAAAATTTTGAAATTCTGGAGCCCTGGCTCTGGGGCAGTCTGCTTGGAACTGCAGACCCTGGAGCCCTGAAGTCTAAACTGGGGGGGGGGAGGGGGGAATCGATCTAAGATACGCAACTTCAGCTACGAGAATAGCATCGCTGAAGTCGACGTATCTTAGATCGACTTAGAATCACTTACTTCGCGTCCTCGCAGCGCAGGATCGACGGCCGCGGCTCCCCCGTCGACTTTGCTTCCGCCTCTCGCCGAGCTGGAGTTCAGCAGTCGACGGGAGAGCGATCGGGGATCGATTTATCGCGTCTACACTACACGCGATAAATCGATTCCCGATAGATCGATCGCTACCCGCCAATCCGGCGGGTAGTGTAGACGTACCCTAAAGACTCGGAGATAGTCCTCCTAGAGGGCTATCCCAGAGCCACAGACTCTGAAAACTCATCATCCCCAGCAGCCTGTCAAGGAGCTGGGCAGGCAAGCTAGCAAAAGAACAGGCAAGTTTCTGATGGAAACATTTTGAGACCTGACTAGTTGCCAGAGGAACTTTGTCAAAATTGCACTGACTCCACAAAATATTTAAATTCTGACAAAATTGTTTCATCAGAATTTTTCCAACCAACTCAAATCATTATCACAAAGATATACACCTCTACCCCAATATAACGCTGTCCTCGGGAGCCAAAAAATCTTACCGCGTTATAGGTGAAACCACCTTATATCGAACTTGCTTTGATCCGCCGGAGTGCGCAGCCCCTGGAGCGCTGCTTTACCGCGTTATATCCGAATTCATGTTATATCGGGCCACGTTACATCGGGGTAGAGGTGTATTAGTAAGGAATATACAAGCCTGAGAATCTATGACCGAAGTGACAATACCAATTCCTATTTGAAAAGAAGAATGACCATCAAAGGCAGGCAAAACCCTGTTTACCAGAATAGTTGTGGCGGGAACAGTGATTGCACAAAGGCCACTGACCATTCTCGTAATGAGAAACAAATGTGAAGTAATACGCAGTATATACCCACCCTCTTCATGTCCACATGCAAACATGTCATTCAATCTACCCTTCAGAAAAAGAATCACTCACCGTTCTTTCAGCTTCTGGTAGCCATAGGACCCTTTATGGCCTGCATTCTGCAACCAAGACAAGTAGAAAAATAATTTATAACCATTAAATGGGGGAGAATAAGGCAGGTGCAGAATAAGTTGTGGACAGCTCATTGGAGGGCACTTTGTCCTGTGCAATTTCACCAGTATCTTTAGTTTTCACGAGGAGGCTGGCATGTACAGCCCTTGCCAATCAGGGCTGAACCTGACCCACATTTTTTAGAGCAGGGACTGTTTTCAAGCACAATGTTAGCATTTAAATAACAACAGCCGTGCCAACATTGATCATTCCAAAAACAGGCGTCAGCCCCCCCTCCAAAAAAAAAAAAAAATCATGAGATTTTTAAAAAAGGCAGTTGGTGTTCTTTTGATTTGCCTTCTGGTATTTCAGCCTATCGGGGTTCCCATTTTCAGGCTTTTCCCTGCCACCACAAGGCTTAGAGACCTGCCTTAACATAAAAAGGAAAGCTGCGGTTTCCCTGTAATCACTTGCCTCCCGGAGGTGGGGCTTTAAGGCACCCGCCCACCACGACAAGCCGAGCCCTGCAAACCTGTGGCTATTGGCTTTGCGTGGCGGACCATGCGTGGGGCTGGCGGGTTGGATGCGGACACACCGTTTGTACCCTCTAATGACAAGCGCCAGGACCACCGTCCCAAAGGGGCGCCCGTGATTTGTGCAGGCCGGGCTGAGAGCGCTTCCCCAGCCCGCGGGGCGGCCTGGCTCGCTGCGGGGCCCCGAGGGGCAGGGGAGGGCGCGCGGCCCTCACCTTATTCTTCGCCATGGCGCCGCCACCCCGCGCCTGGGGTCACCCCAGAGCCGCCGCCATCTTGCGCGTCTCGTCCCCATAGCAACCAACCTCTTCCCCCGCCCGCCCGCCCGCCCGCCGCGCTGGGGGCGGGGCCAGCTGCCGCTGCTCGTGCCCGGGCGGCCGGGGCCGAGCCCGCGTGCCCGTGCGCCACAGGGGGCCGCCCCCCCCCCCCCAGCGGGGGGCGCATTAGGCCCTGCCGAGGCAGTAGCGGAGAGAGCGATCCCCAGTGGTCAGAGCACGCGTGACAGGCAGGCGCGCCACAGCCTCTCTCTCTCTCTGCCACTGACTCCCAACAAAGCCCCCTCGACTCCCTTGGGAGTCCTGCCTGAGGAAGAACTGCAGGATCACGGGTTCTGTTCCGGGCTCTGCCATGGATTTCCAGACCTTTGTCAAGTCACTTGCGCGTTCTGCCTCAGTTTCCCCACCTTAAAAGGGCAGATAATGTGTCTTCCCTGCAGCACAGTGGTGTCATGAAGTGCTTTGAAATCCACAGCTGAAGGGTGCTAGCAGGGTACAGACAGCAAATGTGAAAAATCGGGACGGGGTGGGGGGTAATAGGCGCCTATATAAGAATAAGCCCCGAATATCGGGACTGTCCCTATAATATCGGGACATCTGGTCACCGTAGGTGCTAGAGAGACAAAACATTATTTCTTTACTAAAAGGACTTAAAGGGAATCTACCTGCAGCCTATTTTCAAATGCACGCTCAATTCTTTTTACACCATTTCACTTTGTCTGGGGCCTGCTGGCTGGTGATTTGTACAGCATTCAGTGTACATGAAACTTTACAGTAGGCAGAATGTGAAGAGGATCCCTGCCCCAAAGAGCTTAAAGTCCTAAAGCAGGGGTCGGCAACCTTTCAGAAGTGCTGTGCCGAGTCTTCATTTATTCACTCTAATTTAAGGTTTCGCGTGCCAGTCATACATGTTAACGTTTTTAGAAGGTCTCTTTCTATAAGTCTATAATATAGAACTAAACTATTGTTGTATGTAAAGTAAATAAGATTTTTTAAATGTTTAAGAAGCTTCAATTAAAATTAAATTAAAATGCAGAGCCCCCTGGACTAGTGGCCAGGACCCGGGCAGTGTGAGTGCCACTGAAAATCAGTTCGCGTGCCGCCTTCGGCACGTGTGCCATAGGTTGCCTACCCCTGTCCTAAAGGCACAGTGGATACAGTACAGGTATAAAGTAACAGTCACAAGGCTCTAAGCATGTCCCCCATTACTATAGTACCAAGCGCCTCACAATCTTTAATGGATTCAGCTTCACAGCATGACGCAGGGCTATTATCCCTGCTGCACACACGGGGAACTGAGCAGCGGTGGCTCCAGGCACCAGCTCTCCAAGCGCGTGCCTGGGGCAGCAAGCCGCGGGGGGCGCCCTGTCGGTCCCTGTGAGGGTGGCAGTCAGGCAACCTTCGGTGGCATGCCTGCGGGAGGTCCACCGGTCCCGCGGATTCGGCGGCAATTCGGCAGTGGGTACGCCAAAGCCGCGGGACCGGCAGACCTCCCGCAGGCACGTCGCCGAAGGCAGCCCGCCTGCTGTGCTTGGGGCAGCAAAAAAGCTAGAGCCGCCCCTGGAACTGAGGCACAGAGAGACTAAGGGATTTGCCCAAGGTCACACAGGGAGTACCTGTGGTGGAGCAGAGAATCAAACCGCAATTGTCTCAGTCCCAGACTAGCGCCCAACCAGATCCAAAGTCCTCTAAAGTTCAAAAGTGTTTGGATCAGGAGTTTTGCCTGAATGCCTCTCAATGCTGAGCATGAGCATGTAGCAAACAGGGCAGGTGGTTACTTACTGCTGTCGGCTGCCATGCCTTGGGGAGCGGGCTGAAGGAGGTATGTGTGTAGATAAGGTGTGTAATTATGAACATAGCATGTGGTATGTTCTCAGGTACCCTGACATTGATGGACAGTTCCTGATCGCCACTTTCTCTCTGTGATCCCTTGACCTTGCATTCCACTCTACCAAGGCTGCATTATCACGCCTGGCAGTACAAAGCAAGAAGTTACCCAAGAGGAAGGGAAGTTTTGCCTGTGTGTGAGTGAGTAGCAAGAGCTGGAATTGCTGCCATGCTGCAAGTTTCTCTTGAGAGGTAGGAGGTCTGGTGTCATAGTACTCACTGCCCGGGGGGGTACAGGCAGGAGTGGGCATCCCTTTGAGCATTCAGCTGCATGGCTTAACAGACCTTCCTTCCAAGAGAGCAAGGGGGACAAAGGGTTTTGTTATTTCTCCAACAGTGAGGCTTTGTTCAGCTTTGCTTGGAAAGCAGGAGCACTAAGTCAGCAGACAGCATGGCCTTAGCACTCCCACATGAGTGCTGAGAGGTGGGGTTTCTCCGCTCTTGTCTCTGCCCTGGGCAAGAGAACAACTGGTACAAGGCACTTTAAGAGTAGCTTCACCATCTGGGAGGGAGGCGGGTCCCTGGAGGAGAAGGGCTTCTGAAGGGGCCGGCCGTGGGATTCAGTGAAGGTTTAGTCTGTCCTGAGATGTGCAGCTGCTGCAAGGAGATCAGTTTTGGTGCCTGTGAAGAGAAAAAACAAGCAAGCCGCCACTATTACAACAAACAAACAAACACCCACAAAAACCAGTGACTGTGGAGGTATAAATCTCTTCATGAGCAACACTGACATCCTGTCATTGAACATTTCGCAGAGGCAGCTAAGATTTCAGCTGGGGAAACACCGTGCCACAGCATCAAGAGACAACACCTGCGCCCCCCCTTGCCTTCCACAGTAATTGCTTTGCACCATGGGAAATGGCATGAACAAGGTAAAAATAAACACGCTGAGACACTAGTTTTGTGGGTCTCTGTTCTCTCTGAGACAGGCTTTTCAGAGCTTTTAGGGTGTGAGGTCTCTTTATTGGACTCCATTTCTTGGAAAGCAAGAGCCAGGTGCCACTTCATGTTAGATTTCAGGGCACCCTTGTGTATGCTTAATTTTACAGTGAAATCTATTTAAGGGACCAGCTAAAACCAGCTCCTCTGGTAGAAGTGGGTCTTTAACTACACGTTGAGCAAAGCTGGACAAGGAACCACATGGGGATTCTTTAGAGGTCATGCAAGTCAGTAGGCGAGGTCCTTCGCACAGGTCTGGAGTGTCAGTAAGGGTTCTAAGCAGCTGTGATACTACCCTAGGAAGACAGCGATAAGTAGACAGACGACAGAGCTGATCAATGGTGATCCTGGGATTCCTCCCCAGGAGATTACAGCAGTGCCGCCAGCAGGTCAGTGCACGGCCCAGGACATTACCCTGTGAAGGTGAAAGGAAAGTTGTACACCTCCTTAGAGAACTAGATGAGATAAACACATAACAAGAGATCTGTAAGGCGTGAGCTTTGTACTGCCCCACTCGGCTGCTCAGCATTCCCAGTAGCAGCTGCTCTAACACCACGGTCTTTGCTGTATACAGTATCCAGGGCATAGCTTATCGGAGAGGGCAGCCACTGTTTCCCCTTCAGTGAAGTTTTCCCAAGTTGCAAGGAAGTGACTTTATTTGCCTGTGTAAGAACCTCCACTCTTAATCCATTAAAGCATTCTCTCTCTCTGCGCTATCACTGCACGGCAAAGAGCTTTGTGATATTTTGGATGAAGGATGCAATATATCAAAGCTATTGCATTTCACGGAGGAGTAGGACTGAATGAGGCACGTTGTTGTGTAATAAGGACATTCCTGGATACATAGCTACTGCAGTTTCCCCTTTAGACGTGTCCTTGCACTACAGCAATCTCTTAGCATCTAATTTCTATGACAGTTGAAAGTTAGTTTGTTAAAGGCACATTGCCGATATAAATTTGATCCAAATTTTAAATGTTTTAAAAAAACTCTTATGAACGATGAGGTCAATAGAAACATTTCCAAATGTACTTTAAAAAAAAAGTGAAACTGTAGTTTTAAGCTTTCCCCTGCAGTGTTTGCAAACCAACCACTGAAGCATCAAGAACTTGAAACTGACTATAAACAAGTCAAATGCTCAACTACAAAATGGGGAATAACTGGCTAGGTGGTCATACTGCTGAAAAGTATCTGGAGGTTAGACCACAAACTGAATATGAGTTGTCAATGTGATGCAGCTGCAAAAAAAGGCTAATATGATTTTGGTGTGTATTAACAGGAGCATTGTATGTAAGACACAGGAGGTAATTGTCTCACTGTACTCAGCACTGGTGAGGCCTCAGCTGGAGTATTGTGTCCAATTCTGGGGCACCACAATTTAGGAAGGATGTGAACAAATTGGAAAGAGTCCAGAGGAGAGCATCAAAAAAGATCAAAGGTTTAGAAAACCTGACCTATGAGAAAAGGTTAAAAAAACTGGGCATGTTTAGTCTTGAGAAAAGAAGACTGAAGGACAATCTGATCACAGTCTTCCATATGTTAAGGGCCATTTTAAAGAGGGCGGTGATCAATTGTTCTCCATGTCCACTGAAGGTAGGACAAGAAGTAATGGGCTTAATCTGCAGAAAGGGGCATTTTAGGTTAGACATCAGGAAAAACTTTCTAACTGTAAGGGTAGTTAAGCTCTGGAACAGGCTTCCAAGGGAGGTCATGGAAGATCATTGGAAGCTTTTAAAAACAAGTTGTACAAACACCTGTCAGGGATGGTCTAGCTTTATTTGATGCCTTGCATGGTGTCAAGTATCAGGGGGTAGCCGTGTTAGTCTGTATCTGCACCTTAAGGTGCCACCAGACTCCTTGTTGTTTTTGTAGCTTTATTTGGTCCTGCCACAGCACAGGGGGCTGGACTCAATGACTTCGAGGTCTCATCCAACCTTACATTTCTATGAAAAGTGAAAACAACTCCATTAGTTTTCATTGATGAAGCTGAGAGAAATGTAAAAATGTAAACAAAGAAGGTGTGAGTACACTGAATTTTTAAACATCTCACTTCTAATAGTCGAAGGTGCTATTAATAAGGGAGGTAAAGAAATGTTTGTTTCCAACCTATGGTTTAGAGAAGTTCATTCTGTCCCTAACAAAATTAAGTCTGCAACAGATGTCTTCTCACTATGGGAAATAGCAGTAGGTAGATTACTGGAATTGAGTAATTGTGGGAATTAAAGTATTTAAAACGTTAGGACCAGATTTTCAGACAGTTTAGGTGCACAATTGCATGTGCAAAATGTGCACCTCATTTGAATGCACAATTACCATGATTGCATGCACAGATTAGACATGCAGTTATGTTCCTAAATTCTGTGACAAACTGGCCTGCTATTCTTGTGTTGGGAACAAGTTTTCTTCAGAAGAAAAAGAAAGAAAAGGAAGGATTTCTTATAGGACTGGCACTATTTGCCTAAATGGAGGAGGGAGCGTGATCTAGTGATCGGAGCAGGGGACTGCTGGAGTCTGTCCCTGATTGTGCCACTGACTTCATAGTTGGCCTTGGGCAAGTCCTGTAACTTCTGTGCCTTATTATATCCCCGTTTTAGAGATGGGGAAACTATGCCCTAATTCCCCAGGGTCTGAGGTTTAATTGATAAATGACTTTTGAGGTTCTCGGATGAAAAGCACTAGCAAACTGCAAATTGTTGTTAATTATTAATGATTATTTAAAAAAGCAACAGCAGTTTCCCAGAGTCACATCCTTCCGGCTCCAAGGGCCAAATTCTGCGTTTACGTCCATTCTGTGGTTCTAAATGTGATGCCATTCCACATGAGTCAGTAAGGTTGCACAGATTTAACTGGGGGCAAAATGTATCCAGTAGTATCTTTGGGCCAATAAGCGCGGGGGGGGGAAGAGAGGGAGAGGGTGTTCTTTAAGTGACTGTTAGAGATCTAAGACAGACCATAGGGAACAGATGTTTTCCTCCTTCCCATTTATGGGCTTGTTGACGTGATTCATGCCATTGTTCTTACTGGAGCTGATCCTGCCAGGCACTGAGGAGCCCGTTCTCTGAATGGCACGTTGTGGAATTAGCAAGTTGTAAGATGTGCTCCGACCTCCAGGGACGGTACGGGCTGCTAGCCCTCCTTACACAGGAGACCCTTCTCACGGGTCCATGGACGCAACCAGAGTCAAAGCAGGACCCTCACGATATTTGAGCCACCATGCGCACTCTCTCTCCTCACAGGAATCGCTTTAGTGACTTCACTGGCAGGGGAGTGGGCAGGGGTCCAGGAAGGGGGAGGGTTGGTGGTGCAGAGTGGTGGTTTCCTTTGTTTGTTTTGGTTCTTCTTGGCTTGGCTTCCTCTCTGTCTGAATGCTGGATCGGGGCGGGGGGGGGGGGGGGAAGAAGGGATGCAACACACCAGGAGTTGCCCTCTTTCAGGCTGAATCTTCTCTTTTGTGTCCTGCAGGTTCTCCCTGGACTTTACCTTGGGAACTTCATAGGTGAGCTGCACTGCTGAGAGCACCCAGAGAACTGTCTGAGCTGGGACGTTACCGATAGTCTGTGTTGCGTGATGTGCATGTAGTCCTCTGCCCCACTGTCCCCCATTACGAGGGAGCCTTGTTCTCTCCAGGCCCGGACAATACTGTGCGTGCTTATTTAGACCAGAAGCACTGGTATCGAAGTGATTACTATCCTGAGAGGTGACATCCATAGGAGCTGGAGATGCTCAACTACACAACTTGTCCTACAGAAGACAGGGACGTTCAGGGATTGTTCCGTGCTGCGTGGACGTGGGAGAGAGATTTCTCCCTGATTCGGTCAGGATTAAGAAGCGCCGTCATATCTCGTTAAGCTCTCTGTGCTCCTGGGTCACTCTGTCATAGGCATCGTCACCATCGTGGCAAGCAGAGAGGCGTCAGCACCCCCTGCAAGAATTCCTTCCTCTGACTTCCTGATTCTTGCATTTAACTCAAGTGCCAAATCCTCACCTGCCTACCTCTGCTCTCCTCTCTCCTCTCTCCTATTCCCTTTTCTCCATCTGTCACTCTTCCCCTGGTGCTTGCGAGAAGCGCTCTCCCCCTTGTCCACGCAAGGGTCTCTCGCCTCACCTGCTTTATTCCCCAGTGTGATCAGTATTCTCAGCCCGCTGCAGGGGTGGGATAGGAAATGGTGGTGCCCAGAGAGAGGAGTAAAAAGCTAGACAGGTAGGAGGGGCTCTCGTTCAATTCGGGGGATGTGAACCACAGCTGTGAGGAAGACAGAGCTGATGATGTTGGGGAGCAAGGTGACAGTCAGGACAAGCACACAAAGGGTTAAAGAGCACCAAACTGACTCTGGGCATCATGACGTAGTACCACACATGTGTGACTCCGAGTGTCTTGCGTTCCAACACCACGGCTCTGCCTCTCCCGCTCTGACACAACATCTTGATACCAGCTATAAATATCACAGCATTGGGGGTGGCAATTCTTCTGCCCTACAGACAACTAGCAGTAGACAGGGAAACCTGTTAGCTCATGCAGTGTGCCAATGGTCACCTGCTTCCCCTCTGGCGAATAGTGTCAGAAACCCCGCTGGCCGCCTGCTGCAAAATATCAGTGTGTGGTGTTTGCAGGCATTGTGTTTCTCTACAATGACGATGGCACATGAGCAACAGAGTGTAACCATTTATTGCCACAGGTTCAGAGTGGGAGATCCGGGAAGGGAAAACAAGACAATTCTTCCTCTTGTTCCCCCTTACGGGCCTCAGTAACTCATAGGATCTCAGGATTTACAGGTGGAAGAGGCCTAGTCAGTGAATGAGGCCATGCCCCTGCCAGGAGAGGATACAGTGGAATCTCCATCCTTAGAGGTTTTTAAGGCCTGGCTTGACAAAGCCCTGGCTGGGATGATTTAGTGGGTGTTGGTCCTGCTTTGAGCAAGGGGTTGGACTAGATGACCTCCTGAGGTCTCTTCCAACCCTAATCTTCTATGATTCTATGATACAGTCCCCTCAATAGAGGATGCATCCGATAGGACACTCAGTTGTCTCAAGAAGACCATTGACTTTGTTTCTGTGCATTAAGACAGGCAGTTCACTGGCTGAAAAGCCTTCTCGGAAGCCTTTGTCCAATGCACAGGGGATTCGAGAGTAGTTTGGACCAAGACTCCGAAAGGCAGTGAGAACACAGATTCCTGACCAGCATGAGGGATTACAACAGGGGAAGCACAGATTCATAGATTTAAAGGTGAGAAAGGGACCATTATGATTGTCTAGTCTGACCCCCTTTATATCACAGGCTAGAGAATTTCACCAGTTACCCTGTACTGAGCCCAATATCTACAGCAGACAGCATCCAGAATACTCAGACTCCAGGTTAACCAGAAAGGTTAAAGCAAGTCCAAGGCCTGCTACATTCAGTCTTGGACTGGTGCCACAAAAGCACTGCTCAACCAAGAAATTGGGGGTCATGGGATAGATTTAAAGTTCAATAGCTTGTGAACTGCCAGAGCTAGAGACATGTTTTCCAACTGAAAGCATCCTCTGTCCCTGGTAGGTCACAAAACACTGGACATTAAAATCATATCAGTCTAAGAACCAGCATTCTGACTGCCAGCCCCCCATACTAAGGTAATACAAACAGATAAAGGGATGGGTAGCTCTTGCTCTCCCCTCCACCCCCCTTGAATTCTGACATGGAGCGGCTCTCTTCGATCCTCTATTGTATTAAATATTTATATAATGCCATTAGCACACGGTGCTTGAGAACTACAAGCCAATGTTTTATACCACTTGAACATTTAGAATCCCAAAGCTTTGAGATGGGAAAAGGCAGTGCCTAACTAGCAGCTTGCAAACTAACAGCTGCTAAAATCATAAGAGAAAAACCTGCTGCAAAGATGCTTAGTTGGCCAGACCAGCATGCTCACCTTCCAGAAGATTAACCCTAGTCCTGAACTAATGACCAGAACCACAACATGCTGAGACCTGTTAGAGAAGCTAGACCCCTGGTCTGTAGGAAAGGGGAGGACCCAGGAATCCTCATTCAGGTCGGTACAATTCAGAAGATGACAAATGCAACAAAGCTAGTTGAGCGTATGTCCGGAGACTTGGGGAACAATCGTCAGTTGTTCAGGCAGACTGGGCCACTCTCAGACATCCTGTAAGTGGGTGCAGCGCCATTGCTGCAGTTAATGGGTGGGGTAAACTGCGCATGCAGCAAGACAAGCTGCTAGTATTTATGGTATGTTTGCATGTGAGGGAAGAGTGTGTTCCTTCATGTGGGAGCATTTGGATGTGTGTCTGCTGCAAGCAGGTATGTGAATGTATTTGCAGGTGTGTTTGCACACATTTTTCCAAGCATGTGTTCATTATGCTGTGGCATGTTGGTGTGTGTTTGAATTCATTCAGGTGTGAGCAGGCAGGGTATGTGTTCATTTAGGGAGGTGTCTTTTGGTGTAACCTGTGTGCGCATGCATAGAGATTTATAGGTTGTTTTCATCGGTGGCAGCATTTGCTCACCTGCGGTGTGTATGGGCACCTGTGTGTGTATGTGTGTATAATGCAGCTATGTGTTTCTATGCAGCAAGGTGTGTGCATGCTTATTTGTCTGCAGGGGTGTGGCAGGCATGCTTGGCGGACGTGTAAGAACTAAGTACATACTAGAATCTCATTGGGTTTTTCCTTCTTTCAGATGCCAAAGATTTGGAGCAACTGAGCAGGAATAAGATCACTCACATTATTTCAATCCATGAATCTCCCCAGCCACTACTGCAGGTAGGTACCTAAGCCCCTAACATCACCCCTCTGCCTTCTGCTCATCCACTCGCCCCTAACATCCTCCTTCTCCCTCAAGAAAAAAAGCCGCAGTGATAGCTACCCCCCCTTCTATAGTCTCAAAGGAACTGGGCTGCTCCTTCGGCCTTCCTGTGGATACAGCCCCCAAATCCAAGAGTCACAAAGATATGCTCAGAAAACAAAATGATCAGGGACTGTCTGCTCTTTGGCCTGAGTTAGAGATCTCTGTGTCCTCATCTCTGTTTATCCCGTCGCTATCCGAAGTCACCGCTTTCCTTCCCTGATCACTCATTCCTTGGTCTGCCTTCCCAGGTGCATAGTGGACATGGCTCCTTGGACTCTGGAAGCATTTTCAGGAGCAGAGGGAGGTGGTATTTGCTTTACTGTGGTGGGACTGCTGGGGTTGGGGTAGGGAAGTAGTAACTCAAGCGCTAAAGGAGAAGTGCCTTTGTAGAGTGAGCAGCTCTGGGGCAGCCCTTTGGGAAAATAAGACCTTCTGATCTCTCGGGGGTCCTAAGTTTGACCTGTACATTTTATGCATTTCAGGAAATGACTTATCTTCGCATTCCTCTGCCAGATACACCCGAGGCCAACATGTAAGTGCCAAGCCAAGGCTGTTCCAGAATCAGAGTCATAGGGAACCTTGGAGCTTGCAGGACAAACTGGGGGATAGGCACTCACTGCACTGCTGAGGCCTCAAACCAGCTGTCTCAGGTGGACACTCAGGATGGCACCTTGCAGGAGAGTCCTGTAGGATGAAACAATCATACCATGCTGCTGGGACGGCGTGACAGTCACAGTGCAACATCCTGCCTGAGCTTAGTTTGAGAGGTGCCACAAGCTAGTTACAGGTTTCAGAGCAGCAGCCGTGTTAGTCTGTATCCGCAAAAAGAACAGGAGAACTTGTGGCACCTTAGAGACTAACAAATTTATTTGAGCATAAGCTTTCGTGGGCTACAGCCCACTTCATCAGATGCATCAAATGGAACATATAGTAAGAAGATATATATACACATACAGAGAACATGAAAAGGTGGTCTTAGAGTTGGTATGGCAACTTCCACTTTTTCATGTTCTCTGTATGTGTATATATCTTCTTACTATATGTTCCATTCGATGCATCTGACGAAGTGGGCTGTAGCCCACGACAGCTTATGCTCAAATAAATGTGTTAGTCTCTAAGCTAGTTACAGGCTCCCTAAAATCAGGATGGGTGGCAGCCCGGTTACGGCACCACGAGAGAATCCAGTGGCCACAGACCACCGCGAGGGAGGGGTAGCATGCTTAGCTGGATAAGAGGGGGGCTGGGGGAGAAGGGGGAAAGGGTCACACTTTGGAGGCATAAATAACAGAGCAGGGCTGTGCGGCCCTGTGTAATGCACCCGGCACTAACAGAGGGCTCAAGCAGACAAGCTGTCTGAGGCCAGAGATTGGCTCATTTTCAGTAAGTCCTGGGAATAGATTCTAGGATTCTAGGACTGGAAGGGACCTCGAGAGGTCATCGAGTCCAGTCCCCTGCCCGCATGGCAGGACCAAATACTGTCTAGACCATCCCTGATAGACATTTATCTAACCTACTCTTAAATATCTCCAGAGATGGAGATTCCACAACCTCCCTAGGCAATTTATTCCAGTGTTTAACCACCCTGACAGTTAGGAACTTTTTCCTAATGTCCAACCTAGACCTCCCTTGCTGCAGTTTAAGCCCATTGCTTCTTGTTCTATCCTCAGAGGCTAAAGTGAACAAGTTTTCTCCCTCCTCCTTATGACACCCTTTTAGATACCTGAAAACTGCTATCATGTCCCCTCTCAGTCTTCTCTTTTCCAAACTAAGCAAACCCAATTCTTTCAGCCTTGCTTCATAGGTCATGTTCTCAAGACCTTTAATCATTCTTGTTGCTCTTCTCTGGACCCTTTCCAATTTCTCCACATCTTTCTTGAAATGCGGTGCCCAGAACTGGACACAATACTCCAGCTGAGGCCTAACCAGAGCAGAGTAGAGCGGAAGAATGACTTCTCGTGTCTTGCTCACAACACACCTGTTAATACATCCCAGAATCACGTTTGCTTTTTTTGCAACAGCATCACACTGTTGACTCATATTTAGCTTGTGGTCCACTATAACCCCTAGATCCCTTTCTGCCGTACTCCTTCCTAGACAGTCTCTTCCCATTCTGTATGTGTGAAACTGATTTTTTCTTCCTAAGTGGAGCACTTTGCATTTGTCTTTGTTAAACTTCATCCTGTTTAACTCAGACCATTTCTCCAATTTGTCCAGATCATTTTGAATTATGACCCTGTCCTCCAAAGCAGTTGCAATCCCTCCCAGTTTGGTATCATCCGCAAACTTAATAATCGTACTTTCTATACCAATATCTAAGTCGTTAATGAAGATATTGAACAGAGCCGGTCCCAAAACAGACCCCTGCGGAACCCCACTCGTTATGCCTTTCCAGCAGGATTGGGAACCATTTAATAACAACTCTCTGAGTACGGTTATCCAGCCAGTTATGCACCCACCTTATAGTAGCCCCATCTAAATTGTATTTGCCTAGTTTGTCGATAAGATAAACTTATCGACAAAGTGCTTCTCAGTCCTCGGCTGTGCCTACTGGACTGGTGAGTAGAGCCCGGGTGCCCTCCGGAAGCCTGGCAGCTGCTGCTTTGGAGTCCTGTGCTGCAGGGGGCGTTGAATAGCCAGGGGCATCAGCCCCCCAGCACGGCTACTTCTTCTGGAAGCCCCGATGCCCCAGGCTGTTAAATCAGTAGCTGTGAATGGTGCCTAGGAAAGGAGCCGTGATCACTATTTTACTTTGCTCACCTTGCCCTGCGCGCCATGGGGACACCTGCGGCTCCTGGTAAGATCCTATTGCACAGCCTGGAGTCTTCATTCTATTTTATTTTTCCTGCTAGCAAGAAGCACTTTAAAGAATGTATCAGTTTTATCCACTACTGTCGCCTGCATGGAGGGAACTGCCTTGTTCACTGGTAATGCTCCCTTCCAATGACCCTCGCGCGGCATTCTCCCAAGTACAGTGCACTGGGGAACTGGACTGGGCAGCAGAGTCCCCAGAAGGCCCGTGCTTTGTAGAAAACAGACCGCACATGCTGGGCTGCAGCTTACGAACCAAAGCAAGTGTGCTGACGGGCTCTGGCTGGGCCCTGGGGTGGTGCCTGGAGTCAGAGATCAGGCGAGTGTCTCCCCAGCCCAGCTTGATTTAAGGATGCCATTGGGTTAGGGAACTGTTTACCAAGCAGAAAGGGCAGCATTAGCTTCAATTGTAATGGGGAGGAAGAGGAACCGATTTGGGGGCAGGATTCCAGGAAGTGGCTCATGTTTTCACTTCTTCTAGGGGCTGTAATGTTTGTATAGAGCTAACTGAGGTCATGGTGGAAGTGCCCCGTCTCCAGGAGAAGAAATTCTCTAAGGAGGAACTGAAATAGCCATGAAGAAAGAAGGAGCGCATGGTGGTGGGGGTGCCCCTGGGCTTGAAGGAGGATGGCTGTGAGTGCGGGTGGGGGCGAGGAAGAAACAGCAAAATCAAGGTCCTGATTTTCCCCCCTTTCTGACTCCAGCCTTGCGGGGATCTCCCGGAGCACCACCATTGTTGTCGCCTATGTCATGGCCGTGACGGAGCTAAGCTGGCAAGAGGTATTGCAGGCGGTAAGAGCAGTGCGACCGATTGCCAATCCCAACCCCGGCTTCAAGCAGCAGCTGGAGGAGTTCGGTCACGGCCCTGCACGAAAGGTGAGCGCAGAAGGCTGCGTATTGCCATGGTAACTGCGGTCAGTCCTTATATAGCGCTTCCTAGGCACTGCGCAAGCCCAGGGGGAGAAGGACTCAGAATCCAGAGCGGGACCTGGATCCCCAAAGAGCAAGGGAGAGCTTGGAACCGAGAGAGAGACTAGAAGGTCATTAGAAAGAGACGGATCAAGACGTGGGATCTAATGGTGGGGGAAGGCATCAGAGAGATCTATAATCCCCCACAGAAAGAGATGGGCTGTCCTGAGAGAGATTCCCAATGAGAGAGCCACACAATCCACCCTCCTTCCAAACACAGCATATGGCCAGGCCACCAGGGCTAGCACCTCGCCAGGCCTATAGGCAGGGGCGGCTCTATGTATTTTGCTGCCCCAAACACGGCAGTCTTCGGCGGCACGCCTGCGGGAGGTCCGCCGGTCCCGCGCCTTCGGCGTACCCGCCACAGAATTGCCGCCGAAACCCCGGGACCGGCGGACCTCCTGCAGGCATGCCACTGAAGGCAGCCTGACTGCCACCCTCACGGCGACTGTCGGGCCGCCCCCCACGGCTTGCCGCCCCAGGCACGCGCTTGGTGCGCTGGTACCTGGAGCCGCCCCTGCCTATAGGACCCAAACTCCTGCCTGTAGCTTGGATCAGGTCCCCACCAGGTCACTGTAGCACTCATCGCCTGCTTGACCATTCTGCACTGCCCTGCCACTTCATTCCTATTGGTCACTCACATGGCCACAAGCACAAACCAGGGGTATGTTCCTTGCCCCATTTAACGGGACAACCTAGGTAATTACAGGCCTGTTCGCCTGACATCGATCCCAGGCAAGGTAGTGGAGCTGCTGATACAGGGCTCGATTAATAAAGAATAAAGGAAGGTATTGTAATTAATGCAAGCAACGTGGGTTTATGGAAATAGATTCTGTCAAACTAATATATATACTTCTGTAAGGCATTTGACTTGGTATCAAATGATGTTTTGATTAAAAAACTACAACGATATAAAATTAACATGGCACATATTAAATGGATTAAATACTGGCTACTGATAGGTCTCAAAATGTAATTGTAAATGGGGAATAGTCATCCAGTCGGTATGTTTACAGTGGGGTCCCACAGGGATTGGTTCTTGGCCCTATGCTATTTAACATTTTTATCAGTGACCTGGAAGAAAACATAAAATCATCACTGATAAAGTTTGCAGATGACACAAAAATTGGGGGAGTGATAAATAACGGAGAACAGGTCACTGATTCAGAGCAATCTGGATCACTTGGTAAACTGGGTGCAAGCAAACAATATGCATTTTAATATGGCCAAATGGATATGTATTCATCTAGGAACAAAGAACACTGGCCACGCTGCCAGGATGGAGGACTCTATCCTGGGAAGTAGTGACTCTGATGGTGGATAATCAACTGAACATGAGCTCCCAGAGTGCCACTGTGGCCAAAAGAGCGAACCTGGGATGCATAAACAGGGGAATCTTGAGCAGGAGCAGAGGGGATATTTTACCTCTGTGTTTGGCACGGATGTAACTGCTGCTGGAATCCTGTGTCCAGTTCTGGTGCCCACAATTCAAGAAGGCTGTTGACAAATTAGAGGCAGTTCAGAGAAGAGCCATGCAAATGTTTCAAGGATTAGAAAACACAGTTTAGAGAGAGAGATTGAAGGAGCTCAGTCTATTCAGCTTAAGAAAGCTTAAGGGGTGGCTTGACTACAGTCTACAAGTACCTACATGGGTAACAAATATTTAATAATGCTCTCGTCAGTCTAGCAGAGCAAGGTCTAACACGATGCACTGGCTGGAAGTGGAAGCTAGACACATTCAGACTGGAAATAAGGTGTAGATTTTTGACAGTGAGGGTAATTAGCCATTGGAAAAATTTACCAAGGCTTGTGGTGGATTTTCCATCTCTGACCATTTTAAAAGCATGATTAGATGTTTTTCTAAAAGATCTGCTCTGGGAATGATTTTGGGGACGTTTCAAGTAGAAGGTCAGACTAGATGATCAGAATGGTCCCTTTTGGCCTTGCCATCTGGGAACCTATCAACATCGGGGCACTCCTCTGAGTGGCACTCAGCTCCCTGCTCTCTGAGGGAGGCAGGAAGATCAAGGAGGCCCAATCCTTGGACTGACTGAGGCAGAGGTGGGGCCAGCAGGGACACGTGGAGCTCCCACATCACCAGCATCTTGAAGAGGGTAGATAGGAAAAGAGAAAGCAAAGCAGGAGAGACCGAATCCTAATCAATTCTGTGGAGCGGTACACTCTCCCCCTCCTCCAGTACCGTGCATATCGCCTCTCGGCCTCCCTTGCATCAAATGTTGCAGGATCACCAATTCCCAGGACTTTGGATTTCTGTCCATTTGAAATATGGCACCTGCAGCAGCCCAAGCTGGGTTATTGGTTTGCTCCTGACGGCAAAGGAAAAGCACCACCTACAGAACCATCAACACCTGTTACACCTCAATATATCCTGGAGGTTTTCCATCTAAATACTGAGCCAATACATTTCCCTTTACAGGGGCCAGTTCCTCAGGTGGTGCAAATCAGTATCACTATTGGCTTCCATTGAGCTACCCAGATTTATACCAGATGAGGATCTGGCCCATAACATGTAGCTCAGTGCGAGAGAGAGACAGGAGAGAGGTCTGGGAGCCCCATGAGAGGAGAATAGGCCACAGTATATTACAGCACATGTTCAGCCTCAGGAATTCTGCACCTTGTGACACAGCTGAATAGGGCCATCACAAACCTCTGAAGCACCTGGCATTGGCCACTGTTGGGAAACAGGATATTAGGCTAAATGGACCATTGGTCTGACCCAGCATGGCCGTTCTTATGTTCTCCTTGCACCTGCAGATTCACAGACACTTGGAGCAGAGATATGGAGCCGACACTTTCAATGACGAGGAGGAGATAAGGCTCCTGCTTCCAGCAGACGGAGAAGGCACATCCAGGACAGATGGACCCCTGCAGGGACTGGTGCCAAGGAGCAGAGACATCAAGAACACAGTCCCCTTTCTGCTGCGAGTGAAGCAGACGTTCTCCTGCATCCCCACCTGTTTGAAGTGAGTCCAGCTGAGGCACAGAGAGGAGGGACGCGAGGCATTCTGGGAAAGTGCATAGCCTAACATATCAGACTGGCAAACGCCAAGGCCTGGAAAGGGACATCCCTGCTATTGTATGTCAGGGGAGAGGTATGGTCCAGTGGCGCAATCACAGGCCTGGGAGCCAGGAACTCCTGGGTTCCCATCCAAGCTCTGTAGTCTTCCTCTGTGGCCTTGGGAAAGTCACCTAACATCTGCCTCAGTTTCCCCATCTAAAGTGTGGGGGGTTAATGCTTACGTTTCTATTTCCCAGGCTGCTGTGAGGGTTGGTTAGTAAATATACAAAGGGCACTGGGAGGGTTAGACGTGCTGACTATCATCATTAGTGAACAGAAGGGCCTTGAGCCCTGGCTTACTGAGTGCTACAGATCAGCTGTGCAGGAGGGGATTTTCCTGCTGCCAAGAGCCTGGGTTGGAAAGTACCAGCCAGGGATGGACTTCGGCAGCAAATTGTAATACTTCAATAAATGCTGCACTGAACCCATAAAAATACAATAAAGCGTGGGGGGATGTCTCTTTATAGATGAGACTTTTTCATCAGCAAGTGGTTTCCACTGTCCGGGGCATTGTATAAGAAGTGTGTGTGTGTTTTCCATTAGACCCAGTACACCAGCCAGGAGACAGCTCTCATGCAGGCAAAGGTCCAACTGTAGGCAACAGTGAATGGTGTGTTAACAGGGTTGCACTACGTTTCCCCTGATCCTGGTGTGGTCTCCCACAGGGGGCAAATAATAGTTAACACTGGGCCAGGTATTGCTAGAGCTGAATATTAAGCCATTTTGTTTGAAGACATTTTACATACTTATTTCTTAATAAACGTCTCGTCAGTGCAGAGTTTTCTGTACATTTCAGCCCAGGGCAGAGTTGGATCTGAAAAAGGGGGTGTGCTGGTTGGGGAAGGCTGGGAGTGAGCAAGGCTCTCTGGAGCCAGAAAGAGCCTTTGGGAGTATGTAACATCCCTGCCACCGACGCTCCCGCGCGCGCGGCTGCAGAGAGTGGACTAGGACATTCATTATTAATGCGTACTGCTAATGTATGTACACTGTGCCTAATGTGCACCAGGTGCTTTGCAGAGCAAATAAAGAGACAAAATCTCTGCCTTGAAGAGCTTACACAGCCCACGGCCCCAGTCCCACAGGGAGCTTCACCCACAAGAACCTCTGCATCTGCAGAGAGCTCCATGGACATCAGAGGAGACAGTGCAGGCACGGGGCTCTGTCTGCACAGAGCTCGGGATCAGAGCCTGACATCATTCCAGCTGTTTTGGACATTAAAGTTAATAAATTAGCGTAAAAACAACTCTATTTAGGAGTGTCCCCCTTCACCCTCTGTCCTGACCTCTAGTACTGCACCTCCCATGGCAGCAATGTCCCACCATCTCAGTCCTGGGTGACGAGAGCTAGGAGGCCCATGTATGAAAGTGCAATTCTAAAATAGAGTGGAATAAAGAATTCATACAGCTGTCCCCGAGTGCAGACTGCCAAAGCAATTGGCCACAGCTGGCAAGCGCCCCAGGAGCCTGGAAAGCAAAAGGACGTTGACTTTATCCCTGCCACACCGGAGTTAAATACCCAACCAACCTGCACCTTTGGGCACCATATTCCTGCCTCTACATTACCCAATAAAATCAGACGACAAAACATCAGATTCCTGTGCACGGAGCTCTTTGGCAGGACACATGAATCTGATGGGATTCCTAGCCCGCAGGCTCTTCAGGACATGGGCTCTATCTTCCTACACGTCTGTGCAGCACCGGGCACACTGGTGCCTTCATCCTCCCTCGGCGTTACAGCAGACGAATTGAATACCAGTCATCTCGAAGTGCTGGCTAAGTATGCTGGGTTTCTATGATTCAGTGCTAAGCATTTTCCTATGGGCGTCGCCATTGGCTGTGCCCACACTGTGAGCTACGAGCGTGATTCCCCTGCTTGTGTTCACACGCTAGTGCTGGGCATTGCAGCCAGGAGAGCCCAGGGAGCGAGAGTGCAGGCATGGCTGAGCAGTCCCTGTGCTACTGTGTCTACACTGCTGTTTGTACTCACACTAGCTCCAGGAGCGTTAGTGCGAGCAGGGGAAATCGCGCCCCATGCTCGTATTGCAGGCATAGCCGTAGTTCGACCGCCTGCGCTAGGCAGAGGCCCTGTGTTGCCCACACTGCCCCGTGTTCAGGAGCCCTGTTCTTATGCTAGGCAGAGGCTGGATAACAGCTCAGAGCCTGCCAGAGGCGGTGACATTCTGAAAACCAGACATGCCCCCGTCACCCAGCCCTCCCTTTGCTGGACAGTCCCCAGCCTACTGTGTTCAGGTCCCACCGCACTGGGCCCGGCGTCTGCTCTTACCTGTCCCTTGGGCTGAGTAGGCTGCAGCCTCCATCTGTCCCCCCTTCACAGAAATGGGACCCACAGCCCAGCTGCCCCAGGCCCTGTGCTGACTGCCCAGTCGTTTAAGCCCAAGGCTCTAGCCATGTAGGTACGCGGGGTTTACAGTTCACCTCTTTCGGGACATGCTCTAGTGAAAGCCGACAGCCCCATGGGTTCCCAAAACAGCCACTCGCCCCTCCTGCACACCGCAGCTCCTCCGAGTCACTCGCTATCTCCCGCTGTGTGTGGAGAGTTTCCTTCTTCCATAGCAGGTCGTGCAGCTAAGTGGGACCCCTCTGCTTCAACATGCCCCTCTGTGCCTCCGCCCTACCCACTAACCCAAGCGTCCCAAGTCTCCGCGGGTTCCTCTGAGTTCCCCTTTTCAATTCCTCGGCCTTTGGGTTTTTTAATGGTTGAGGTTTCTTGGTTTCCCTTTTTGGGAAAATTCCATGGCCTCAAACTCCAGCCCCACAGACAGACGTGGCCGGCTGGTTTCTCCGACTTCAGCCATCCCACTGTTCTGAGGTGCTCCCACTGGACTGGGAGCGATCCAGGTGTAACGATAATGAGCCTCCATTGTCCCTGGACTGGGAGATAGTGTGGCACAACCCTGACACCACATGGAGGATTCCACTTGCACGGAGGCATCCGATGTTACAGCAATTTCATAGCATCAACCAGAATTCATAACTTGGACATAGAGAGATTCCCTCATGCCTGTGGTGGTATGTTCCTCATGCCAGGGTGTCACGGAGTCCCCGGGCGATGCTCTGGAACTGCTCCCCAGAAAGCCAGTCAGGATTTTGGGGAGCCTCCTCTCCCTTGGAGCAGACTTCAGGGCAAGAAGCTCACACGGCTTCACCTCCTGGGTCTGACCTTGGAGCATTCAGCATATGCCCCTCTGCGTGCTTCCCACAGCGAGTCCGCCCCGGCGGGATCCTGGGGAAGCCACAGGGTCCTGCACCCCCACTTCGCAGTCAGACGTGACTCTTAGCCAGCCAGTAAAACAGAGGTTTATTAGATGACAGGAACACGGTCTAAAACAGAGCTTGTAGGTCCAGAGAACAGGACCCCTCAGCCGGGTCCATTCTAGGGCCCAGCGAGCCAGACAACCCCGTCTGCCCTCACTCCTAGTCCCTAGCCAGCTCCAAACTGAAACCCCCTCCAGCCCCTCCTTTCTGGCCTTTGTCTCTTTCCAGGGCCAGGAGGTCACCTGATCTCTTTGTTCACCTTGCAGGGGAGAAGGGCTCCAGCCATTTGTTGCTAGGAGACAGATGGTCAGCCATTTATGCACACTGGAGACTTAAGAAATGCATAGGGGAAACTGAGGCACCCACACAGTATTCAGAGGAAACATTAAGAACAGTCCCACTTCATCACACAGGGTCCCACATTCTCTCCTCCCAGGCAAGCCACTACGTGTTCCCCATTATTATTTATTTTCTTTCTGGCTGGGAGAGGAGTCACTCAGGGTGTCAACGTGTTAAACCCCATTGGGATGATGGGCGGAGCTGAAATGCATAAATTATAAGGCCCAAAGGGATCACTCTGATCATCTAGTCTGACCTTCTGTACAACATAGGCCATAGGACAGCCAGGATAGCCATCCCCACATGTTCAAAAATCAGGATTCAGGCTCACCAAAAATCATGAGATTATGTAAAAATAACAGATGTGGGGATCTTTTTATTTGCCTTCTGTTTTTGAGCCTGTAGGGTGCACTGGGGTCACATTTTGGTGCTTTCTCCACAGCCACGAGGGCTAGAAACGTACTTTTCCTTTAAGAATGAAGGCTGATGTCATCCCAGATCCACTTGACTCCAGGAGCTGGGGCTTTACGGAAAACAATAATTATCATGAGACTCATGATAGAATCATGAGAGTTGGCAACACTGGACTTCCCTGAATTAATTTTGGTTTGAACTAGAGTATAACTAGAGATGGGGGGCATCGTGCTAGAAGGTGCGAATGGCTACCATCACCTAGTACTTTGCTCTACCGTCAATTAACAGACCTATTGGAAGCTAATGGGTGTGCTAACCTGATGCAAAGGGTGCAGCATGTCTACCATTTCCTCTGGTGTTCCGATTGTTGCTAAAATCAATAATGTTCTGCCCAGGAATGCCTAGAACTTACCCTGGAATTTTGGAATTGATCAGATGCAGTTGTCAGAAGTTCTCATGTTACAGATGCAGAAATGTAGCTGAGATGAGTGTAGAACTTGCTTCACTTGGCCAGTTATAGAGTTTCAGGCGCTGATTTTCAGCCAGTGAAGACACAGAGGTACATATGCAGCTGCACACGTGGATCAGGTAGCTGCACACAGATAACTAAGCAGATGTATTTGCGTATGCAATTTCCTAGTTCGCATGCAAAAGTGTCAAACACAGTTTCCAATTAGGCACACATTTTGTGCAGGCAGTATTCACCTCAACTATTAAAATCCAGCCCTTGCTGGCAAAGCAGAAATGTATTTATATTTGTGGATGTGGTTTTGTGTATTTGAAGTGCAGCTGAGGGCAGGGTTAATTGTGGGTTAATATTTAACTCCATTTTTGCAACACTAGTTCATTAGCATACAAAGTATAAGGGTTATTAAGCAGCCTCACTTTCCTCCTGCAAATGCTGCCTAGGAATCCAGACCAGGGATAATTAGATCTCTCCTGTTCAGTATGTCACTGCCTCAGCTATTAGGAGAACACATGAAATCCCTGGCTGATAAGAACATGTACAGTATGAAACTCTCCCCAATTTATATGCGGCTGGATGACAAGTTAATGGGCTCAGATTATCCCCTGGCCTCTGGATTTGATCTATGGAGGCTACTGGAATGGGGTGTTTAATGCCTTGGGGTCTTCACAGAACATTTCCCAGGAGAGGAGGGAGACATAAGTGCTTCTTCAGTGAAATAGACGTGATGAATTAACTGACTCCCTTTCAATGGAATGAAGTGGTCTGAATTGCCCTTGTCGAGGAGAGAACAGTGTGTCATGCAAGCTACCTGGGTAAAGTGTTACCATGCTGGAGTCAAAAGCCACCCTTGCCCACCGCCCATACACATCGCCGTCACCTCCCTCCTAGCTGTCCTGCCTAGTCTTCCTTTCTTGGAAATTGGCCGGGACGCTGGCTCCTGACCTTAGTCAAACTGAGATTTCTCTGCGTCAGAGAGACCGGTCCAATGGAATTCCCCTCCGTAGTGAGTGTGGTAAGAAGAGTGATTTCCTGTGCTGCTCGAGTTCCCCCACCCAACCGCCTCGAAACCAGTTCATGCAAGTGAAAGCTTCCCGGTTCGCCGGGTGACACAGAGTGAGAATGCAGGCAGAAATTAACGGCGAGGAGGCCCCTGCTTTGCCTGTGAACGTTTCTCCTCTGTGACAGTGGATTGATCCTAACCTGGAGTTT